ACTTGGCGGGTCCGTGCCAGGACTTTTTTATGTTACTACTGCTTCCCGTATTTAATTATGATTTAATGGTGATTTAATAATTAATAAAACTTTAGGTGATTCCTTATCGAGTACTACTTGGCGGGTCCGTGCATTTCTTGATATAAATATGGTAAAAAACCAGTACCAATTTTATATAGAAAGCATATTAACAATAACTCATCAAAAATAATCACAGTAAAAGCTTAATAACAAACATACAGCATTAGAATACTATGAGCACGTGTAAAGTAAGTACTTTGGAATTCCTGGCACGGACCCGCCAAGTTGTACTCGATAAGGAATCACCTAAAGTTTTATTAATTATTAAATAACCCTTAAATCATAATCAACTACGACAAACAGTAGTAATGTAAAAGAGTAGTGAAAACGTTATAGGAAATTTTGAAAATACAATTAAAATGTTGGGCCTGTGCTAGATCATATAATAGACAAACATGTAGTGACTTATGTACTTGGCCTCCATAATGTGATGTCAATACTTTTTATTAGAGGAATACACAGGACTCCTGTACTTGGCGTAGTTTTTTACACGTAAGTGTTTTTTGGGGGATCTTGGTTCGTCTAAAGATGGTATGCTCATGAGTTCACATATATTTGTGTGTATTAATCCTAATACCTCTTTTTCTGCTTCTGGTATTGTTCTCTCTTGTTCCATCATTATCTACTTTTCAAAATTCCTCCTCAAGTAGCTTTATCTTAAGATCTTCTAGTGTAGGTATCTTTTCGTTACACTTAATTGCGATACAAAATGTTTCATATTTACTAAGCAATAATAAAAATAGCATTATTAGCAATATAGGATCAATGCATTGCTTATAGAGTACGCACTGTTTCATTGATCCTTTTGATTCATACACATTCTTAAGTACTTCCCGTGCTTGTGATTACTCTGCTCGTTTAATGTGCTTGTATTGATTCTTATTTAATCTTGATATAATTAAATCGAGAGCTTTTTTATCATTTCCCGTTTACGTGGTTTCGTCCTTTGCCGTTTCCTTAATCGTTCCGTTCACATATCCCCATTGTTCACTAAACTCAAAATGCTCTTCATTTGTGTCTTTTACAACTCGTAATTTAGATTGTCCATATTTTCAATCTTTTGCATAGTTACAACACTCATGGCTCTTTTATTTGTTCGAAACATGACACGTGGCTATACCTAATCTCTCCTTGTTTTTGTAATTTTATTTATCTACCAAGATCCTGAGCCCATAACCTGTTGAGAGATTTTAGTCCTTTGGAAGGAGAATGATGTAGCCGACATAGTTGGGATGACGCGTTTGTAAACGACTATATACAGCATTTCGTATTAAAAAAAAATGTTCTGTTTTACCCATTTTCACATACCGCCTTAGGATAATGAAAATGTTACTGACTGCTAATCAGTAGTAGAAGGATCCCTCGTACATGGAACCCCCCCCCCCCC